CAACTTACTCATTATGTTTCAGTAGCTTCCTATGGTTCACCTGTGACTTCTTTCCTTCTTACTCTACTACCTAGGCATCCTTTGACAGTTCAATGACTCTCCAGCCCACATCTGTGACTTCCGGACATGTAAAACAACTGCTTATTGAATATCATCGCGTGTTTTGTATGTTAGACACCTCAGTTCTAAGTCTTCCAAGCTGAACTCCTCACTTTATCTTCCCCAACCCCCAGTGTGCCTCCTTGTTTTGCTCTCTTGTGGTACAACCATCTTACAGGTTACTCAGGGCATTAAATAATTCCTGAATCTTTTTCCCAATCTTGTCTCTTTCAGTCCTTCTTAATTTTAAGTTTAATTAGTTAGTAATCTGTATGTTCATCGATCTCCCTCTCCACTCTATTGTCAGAGACTTTATTCTGGTTTTCTGGAGGTTACCATGTCTTCCTAGCTTTGCCTCTTCTTCCCTCCAGCATTACTTTTTCCTGTATACTTTCACTTTGTTGACAAAGGGATAAAATTCCTAAACACAAATTTCAAATACATTCCCTTCTTTTGTAAACCTATAATGGGTCTCTGCTGCTTTCAATATAACAATCTTTAGATTGTTCCCCAAAGGTTATCATATGAATGTGCCCCACCACTTTTTAAAATCAGGCCTTGGGGCGCCTGGGTGGCGCAGTCGGTTGAAGCGTCCGACTTCCCTTCAGATCGCGATCTCAGCGGTCGTGAGTTGAGCCAGCGTCGAGGCTCTGGGCTGATGGCTGGAGCCTGGAGCCTGTTTCATTCTGTCGTCTCCCTCTCTCTCTGCCCTCCCCCCCAGGTCATGCTCTGTCTCATCCCAAAAATAAATAAAAGGTTAGCTTAAAATCAGGCCTCTATTGGGGAGGGCACCTGTTGGGATGAGCACTGGGTGTTTGTATGAAACCAATTTGACAATAAATTATATTTAATATAAAAAATAAAATAAAATAAAATAAAAAATAAAAATCAAGCCTCTGTAAAAGAAATTGGAAACACTTACTCGAGACAATATCTCAATCTACATGTCACCTCTATGGAATTAATTCAAGTTTCTCATTCTGAATGAAACATTCTTTTTTGTGTCTTTGGACATGCTATTCCTTTTACCTGGAACATTATTTTCCCCTGCTTCCCTTACCCCATGGCCTTCACCTTCTATTTATCCTAGTTTCTCTAGGAAGTTATCTCTGCCCTACCAACCACCCCAACCCAGGTCCTCCCCTAGCCATTTATCCACACGTTTTTACACATCTATCTGACTTCTCTACTGGACAGAAACTCTTTTATTATTATTATTATTTTTTAATGTTCATTTATTCTTGAGAGAGAGAGAGAGAGACACAGCATGAGCAGGGGAAGGGCAGAGTGAGAGAGGGAGACACAGAATCTGAAGTAGGCTCCAGGCTCTGAGCTGTCAGCACAGAACCCAACGTGGGACTGGAACTCATGAACCGCAAGATCATGACCTGAGCCGAAGTCGGACACTCAACCAACTGAGCCACCCAGGTGCCCCTGTACTAGACAGAAACTCTTGAAGGGAGCCTTAACTATGTCTTGTGTGTGTGTGTCACCTTAATAAACAATGCCTTTTTTTTTTTTTTTGAATAATTATCTGGACTTAGATTTGTTTGGAAGCACAATTATTTACTTACTTTTCCACACAAATTAAATTCACTAGAAAATTGCTGTCAGTGCTACTTTTTTTTTGATAATGCAATTCCTACATTTCAAACTATTTTTCAGGCCTTTTTAAGTCTCTTATTTCTTTTCTCTCTTCATTAATTTTTATTTTTAAAATATCTTTTTTTTTTTATAATTTGTTGTCAAACTGGCTAACATACAGTGTGCTCTTGGTTTTTGTATGTAAGCAATGAATCACGGGAATCTACTCCCCAAACCAAGAGCGCAGTGCCTTTTCACAGATGCGAATCACCTCACCGTCTTTGTTCAGTCAATGAATAATTCAGGTGTGGAAGCCAGCCTCCAAAATCGACTGCAGTGATCTTTGCCTCCTGTTATTCACACACCCTCAGGTAGGGCCCTCCCACACGGTACCAGGGCCAGCAGCACCTGTTGTGACTGTATCTACCAGGGAGCCTATGTGGCAAGGACTTTCATGAAGCCTCTAGCCAGCTGCCAGCCAGCCAGTGAGACCACGTGAGTGAGCATGGAGGTGGATCTTCTAGCCTCAGTCAAGTGTTCAGGGACTGCAGCCCTGAAGGGACCAACAGCCGGATCGTGTGTGTATTACGCTCTGAAAGGCTGTTAGCCACAACCACCTAGCAAAACTCTTCCGGGATTTCTGATTCTTAGAAACTGTGTGAGATAATAAATATTAGTTGTTTTAAACCATTGTATGTGGGGGTAATCTGTTACACAGCACGAGATAAGGAATATACCCAACACAATGAAATAGATAGCTTTACCATTTCCAGGGCACCTCTGATAATCCCACAGAGTAAATTGCAGTAGCACAGAGACGATCGCCCGGCAGGGAGCTCTTCCACAAACTCCACCAGAGGATTCTTGTCTAAGATCAGGGAAAATTCAGTTCTGCTTGGATTGTTACAGGTCACACTTGGTGTAATTCCCAGGTACATCTTAAAGGCAACCTAATAAAAAGGGGGGGGGGGAATCTGCTAAAAAACTTGGTCTGGAACAAGTATCTATTATTAGCAAAGCACCCAGATATTCTGTTCCAGGCAGTGCAGCACAATGGTTAAGCATGTGGAGTTTGTAGTCAGCCAGTGTGGGCTCACACTCAGCTTTGGCATGTACCCACCCTATGACCTGTACAAGTCTTAAAGAGTTTTATTTTTATGGGATATCCTAAGGGACTAGTTTTCTGTGGAAGCAATATGCTTTATGAAGCAGAGTTAAGCATTATTTCTCAAAAAATCTTTTTCAAAAATAAATATCCTTCAGGAGGGTAAGAAATTAAAATATCAGTCATCAACATCCCAGCATGATAGGTGTCATGTGAGCCTAGTAAAGGGTAAGATCCTGAATGAGAAGGGACGCAAGACATATCCACCACAATGGGAAGGTGATAGAGTAGAGGGTGCTGCTGGACAATCAGACTCAAGGGTGTGCTTTGGAAAGTGGAGGAAGTCATATCACAAAGGATGACTAGTCTCTGAGAAGGAGCAAGGGATAGTGGTGGTATGATTTACATAAATGAGTCATAAAGTAACTTCTGAAAAAAGTCTGCTGTATTGAAGGGCTTACAGATTTTTACCATGTTGAGATGGAGAAAATCTTGGAGACTATTTCTTTTATACCTCTAGTTTCATAAATGAGCAGGTTGCGATTCAGAGAAGTCAAATGACATGGCCAAGCCCATGCTATTGCTCAGTCCCTTGACTTCTGGGCCAAGGAACTTTCTTTTCACCAAATGCACTGGAATTTGAAGTTTATTATTGGAAACTTGTGAGCTTGTCTTTCAAGTGTCTTAATTATTTAATTTTTTAAAAAGGTTTATTTATATATTTTGAGACAGAGAGCATTAGCAGGAGAGGGGTAGAGAGAGAGGGAGAGAGAGAATCCCAAGCAGGCTCTGTACTGTTATCATACAGCCCCACCATGGGGCTCGATCCCACAAACGGTGAGATCATGACCCGAGCTGAGATCAAGAGTCAGACGCTTAACCAATTGAGCCACCCAGGTGCCCCAATTAATTTAATTTTTAAAATTAAGAGCAGTATAGGACAGAAATGGAAACAATTTTCTTAAATTATTTATAGTTAGAAGTCCTGAAAGGTTCATCATTCATTCAATAGGTACTCACTGAACACTGCATTTCTAGCACACAATGCAAGTTCAATAACTATTTGAAAAACAAATTATTAAATGAGCATCCATTCTGTGTTTGAGACCATGTTTAGGCCCAGAATACAAAAGTTCATAAATATAGTTCCTGTTTTATAAGCGCTCATAGTAAAAAGGTATTAAAAAAACTGCAATGGTGTAAGTCCTGCAAGTACAGTGTTCTGTATTAGGAAGCAATCCTGCAAATACTCACAGAGAAGGAAACTGCTATTCTGTTCATGAATATTGAGTGAGAATTTGCCAGGTGGACAGGGTGGGAGTGGGAGGTGTTCTAGGTGGAGGAAACATGTCATGGGCAGGAAATACCATGATCAAGTTCAGGGCAGACTGGTATTTATCAGTTGTGGGTAGCATAAAGCCCCGAAGGTGTGAGTAGGTTAGGACAGAATTGAATTTCCATTTGAAGGATCTCCTTTGTGTGAGCTTGGAGGATGGATTTGGGTTGAGGGTAGGGTTGGGCAGGAGGTCAAAGGCAGAGATAGTAATCAAGAGGTTACTAGGAAAGAAATGATGAGGACCTTCTCATTTTGTCTTTCATTGAAAACTCAAATGCTCCCTAAATTTTTCCATAGAAATTTTAGGTAGCCCAAATCCTAAAATTTGGCTCAAATCTCTGACACTAGTCAGTTTAAGAGGACACAAAAAAATGAATCTTTCAGATCTTAAGGCAAAGTAGCAAAAGTAGCAGTCTTAAGTAACAAGGGAAAAATCATCATGAGACTCCTGGCCTGGAGACTAGATTTGGCTCTCAGTGAATTGGCTGAGACCCATTTCTGCTAATGTTGATTCCTCCGGCTGGAAAATTCCTAGACTATTATTTATAGGATTGAGAATCTGAAAAAAATTCTGATTCTCAATCCAAGCCATATGAAAATAACATAAAATGGAAGCTGTGCACTCTGAATGTACTCAGATTCTCAGTGTTTGGGCCCCGGTTCCGTGGCACAAAATTCACCAGTAGGAGGCGTTATCTGAGCATGGTTGGGAAATACTCATTCCTAGGCAATGACATTGTTTCCTTATCTGGCTGAATTCAGTCTGAGAAGGAGGACTGTTGTTTCTAATGAAGAAGGAGCTCCACCCTCGGCCACTGCCGCAGCTGCTCTGCCAATAAATAAGGGCAAAGCATTTTCCCTTTGTGTATCTTCAACATGGATGCTTTTCAGGGGATTTTAAAATTCTTCCTCAACCAGAAAACTGTTATTGGCTACAGCTTCATGGCTCTGCTGACCGTGGGGAGCGAGCGTCTCTTTTCACTGGTGGCTTTTAAGTGTCCCTGCAGCACTGAGAATGTGGTCTATGGGCTGGTTTTCCTGTTTGCTCCTGCTTGGGTGTTACTGATCCTGGGATTCTTTCTGAACAGCAAGGCGATGAGGCTCTTCACAGGCTGCTGTGTGAATCCCAGGAAAATCTTCCCCAAAGGTCACAGCTGCCACTTTTTCTATGTCCTCGGTCAGATCACTCTGAGTTCATTGGTGGCTCCAATGATGTGGCTTTCTGTGGCTCTGCTAAATGGGACTTTTTATGAATGTGCCATGAGCGGGACCAAAAGTTCAAGACTCTTGGGACTGATTTGCAAGGGCAAGCCCCAGGAATGCTGGGATGAACTTTACAAAGTGTCTTGTGGCAAAACCAGCATGGCCCCCACGGACAACGAAGAACTGAAACTGTCCCTGCAAGCCCAGTCTCAGGTAAGAAAGGACAAACTTGCCTTTTTCTCCCTGCGCAAAGTATTCTGTCTGTACTCACTTCCGGCAGAGCTGAGTCTGAATCTTGTTAGAACATTTTGAAACCAAATGGAAATTGGAACATCATGCAGCATTAAGACAATCTCAGGGAAAGCTTTTTAGAGGTTGGTGGCTCCCTAAAATTGCTGATTGCATCGTCTTTTCCACTTCCAAAAAGAAAATATCCTCTGGGTTATGCGTATGTAAATACTTAAGTGCTTTAAAACAATCTCTCCGGGTTGACTTTGTAAATAATGCATGACGCTAACTCATAATTGAGCGTTAATGACAGAGCTGTAATTAGAAATTACTGCCTTCTATCAATTATTTTCAAACTGGTTTCTCAGAAAAACACACATAGCATTCATCTATTAAAATATAGCTGAACCAAATGAACTCTTATTTTTCAAAGCTGCCCGTAATATAATTAGTGTAGAGATTCCCTCAAGTGATTTCTGGCAACTGTTATCTCTGCGTATAAATATTGTCAAGATTGAGAAAGATTTCCTGTCCAAAATGGGAGGTGGCAGTCTTTAAATAGCCTTCAGTGAAAAGTGACGGTATTCTCTAGGGAGGTTAGGTCTTCTGCTCTTTGCGCTCTACAGGCTTTATTTAATAGAAGGAAATTGTAGCTTTACCTAATTGACACAGGGAAGTGCTTGTCATCCGTCCAGGTACATGAGCACAAATCCAGATGTGGAGCCTTGCCCTGGCCTCAGGAAAAGACTGAATTCCTACTTGGGAGTAGTAGGATTATGTTCCCCAAACCAAAACAACAAATAAGAGTACATAAACAGATCCACAATTTGTCAGGAATGCTATTTGTTTCAGAATAAAGGCGCTCAAAATGGTATATTTTTACTTTTTCAACAAGGACATGCCTTTTCAACAACACATCAAGGCAGTCTGGTTTTACAATCATACTTTCCAAAGCTGGTTGGCTGTATAGTCACACGGTACTTTTTTCATAGATAAGCTTCAAAAATGCCCCACAACAAAATCTTTTGTTTAATGCATAAAGCTCATCTTAGACAAAAACATTCCAGGATCCCAAATGTCTTCCTTCTTTTGTTGAAGGAAGGTACTAATTACAAATGTAATGATACAATGAGCGATTTATGATTTATGTCCTCAGGCACCAGGCTCTATTCAGTTCATGCCAGATCCAAACACTTATCACTGTGTGAGCTTTTCTTCTCTAAACACAGGCATAAGGAATTATGAATATCCTGTCATAGCTTATCCTGGGCACACTACGTGTTTACTTTTCAGCAGAATGAGAAAGACCCGGAGCTGATTTCTAGGGGAGGATGCACACGGGATGTAGACAAGAGGAGCTATATCAATGACAGCTGCTGACCACAGTGGTTCAGCCAGGCAGGAGCAACAGGGAATCCAGACCAATAGTTGCATATGTGGGTGGGGGTGGAAAAAGTTCCCTATCTATGGGGGGGGTGGTGTGCAAAGAAGAGATCCAGCTGGATTTCTAACTTATATTCTTAAGGCAGTTAGAGTGGACAAGTGGCAAGAGCTTGGTCTTAGAGTTGGCCAGCCTTGGGTTTGAATCCTGACTCCACCACTTACCAGCTCTGTGACCCAGAACTAATGGTTTCACCCCTCTGAGCCCCAGTTTGCTCATAGTTGGGAGTAATAACACCTACCTTGGAGGGCTGCTGAAAGGTGTAGAGATGAAGGACACAAATGGGCATAAAGCTGTTGACTCACAGTAAGTGTTCTAAATTAATGAGAAAACTGCCAGGGTTTGAGAGAGGAGACTCATGAAGAATGGAACATATTGAGGGCTGGTGTGAGAGCATCCACCATGTCTATTTAGATTCTGGATACTATGAATTGGGGAAGAACAAGAGGGCTCAGTGCTCAGCACTCGGAGCAAGGTAACACCAAAATGATGCAATGTGGAAGGAGGAGTCTGTAGTTGATTGAATAGTATAGCTCAGGCAGAGCTGGCTCAGATGCTGAGGTGAGACGGTCTGCTGGCCTGCAGGATGTCCGGCTGCGTGGAAAGAGGAAGGTAGAAGAGGAAGAGAAGAGGTAGCCAACCACAAGTGATTCAAGGTAAATATGAAGACTTTCACGTGGTGGAAGCTGTGTCTCATTCATAAATCACGAAAGAAAGATACCACGAGTTCAGTAATGCTTTTATGTGAATATATAACATCTGAAAAATTGCAGCATGTGATAATAGCTAACACATACTGAATGCGTATGTATGTCTACACTGTCTCATTTCAATTCCCCAAATTCCCCTCTGAGGTGGGTAACCCCCATTTTACAACTGAGGAAATGAGGCACCCATAGGAAATGAGAACACCTGTAGGAAAGGGAAGGTTGAGATTTAAATCCAGTTAGTTCCACTCCAGAGTTGGCATTCACGTGGAGTCTGAGACCCTCACAATGCCTCCACAGTCTGAGCCAGAGTGTGGGAACCACTGGTTTAAAGCATTGCAACTTATTTGTAGTTCTGTTATGGTCTGAATGGGTTCATTTGCAGATTATTGCTTCTATTTTCAAACAGGCCCATTTGCTGAGAAATACTAAGGGTCATTGAAAACGTCAAGAGAAACTGTGAAAGGGCTCTGTTAGTTGTCCAAATATGAGATTAATTCCAATTGTGACCAATGCAATTAGAGCAACAAAAAAGTTTAGAAGGTACGTCGAGCTATTTAGAGTTCTGCTTTTAAAATTCAGGAAAAAAAATGCCACCTGAACCAGTTTTTACGTAGGAATTTTTTTTTTCTAATTACCAAAATGCTGAACCAGTAATCCTGAAGGTTTAGAATGACGCTGAGGTTCTTTTTCTTTTCTTTTTTTTTTTTAATGCAGCTTTTCAATTCTTCTGGCTTCAGTTTCCTTATTGTATTATGCCTGTCTCACTTGATCATGGGTTATGAGTAATGCTACTTCTCTCAGAGAGGGTCTGTTGTTCTCTGCAAACAACGTAACATGGAAAAATAAGTCACTAGCCATGAATGTGTATTTACCAATGCCTGAAAACTCCTGGCTGAGGAATTGTTCATTTGTGCAAATGACCACACTTCCCCATGCACAGAATTCTTTCCTTTAATAGCTATTTGAGGGGTTGGTTTAACTGATTCTTGGATAATTTACATTTTTTGCAATTTTCCATTTGCTTGTCTTCTGGCTATTTCTTTGTATACCGGCACGTTGGGTAGGATGGATGATAGAGATTAGGTAAACTCGAACTTTATTTTGACTGTTACAAAATTAACATGAAGTATTTCAACTGAGGTATAGCAATGCCTGTGGTGTTAACTCAGCAAACACTTACCAGTAACACCATCCCGGCTCCCTGGGAAGTGGCTTTGCTTCTACATGTCCTCACTGTTTCTTTCTTTCTTTCTAAGATTCTAGGATGGTGCCTGATTTGTTCAGCGTCTTTCTTCTCTCTGCTCACCACTTGCTATGCTCGCTGCCGATCTAAAGTCAGCCACCTGCAGCTGAGTTTTTGGAAGACGTATGCACAAAAAGAGAAGGAGCAGTTGGAGAATACATTCCTGGAGTATGCCAACAAGCTGAGTGAGCGAAACCTGAAGTGCTTTTTTGAAAACAAGAGGCCGGATGCCTTCCCCATGCCCACCTTTGCAGCCTGGGAGGCTGCCTCAGAGCTGCATTCTTTCCACCAAAGTCGGCAACACTACAGCACTCTGCATAAGGTGGTGGAGGATGGTCTGGAACATAGCCCTGAGGACGATGAGACCACACTGGTACTTGTGGGTACTGCCCACAGCGTGTAGTTCATCTACCACACGGACTCATGGTGTTCAGGGCTCATTCTGACATCTTCGGCTGCATCGACAGCAACCTGTGTATCTCTGTGTTTTCTCGCCGTTAGTGTTTCCTTGAAGACAACAACCCAAAGAGAAGCAGTGTTGCAGCTCCTGAGGGAAGGCTGTGTCGGGATGTGTCAGGGCTGTGTCAGGATGTGCTCAAACTGATGCCAAGTGACGGTCAAGGATGGTGAGAAAGGTGCTCTTCCATTGGTTGGGGGTTGGGGCTCAGTGGCTTCAAGTTCTATGATTTTATGGCTTGACGAGACTCATGCAAGAAGGTCTGCTGCTCTATATAAATATTGGTCATGGCATCTGGGAGCAGAAGTGGTGACTTGTGAGTAACCAAGATCCTCTTAACTGACTGCTATAGACAGTGGGGTCAGTGGTGCAGTCAGCGGAAATCCTCGTCCTGCAAATCTATTCTACTGCCTTTCAAGGACGTTATGAAAATCTACCATTTGGAATTCATTTCCTTGGAATCTGAAGACAGCAGTTTTCAAGAATAACACATTGAAAGGATATGGTGCTTAAAATTTAGAGCTTTTCACATGTTTCCACTGTGCTCTGAAAGCATGTCCCTATAGGCAGGGCTGTATTATGACTTTTGGGGGCCCTAGGCACTTTGCCTCCGTAGACCCCTTTTTACTTTAAATGCGCATGTGCACACACACACATATGCATGCACATACACATTTATGACTGTATTAATATAAATACAAATAAATTAATATTATATACTAAAATACTTTTTCAACCCCAAAGTTCATTTTCTTCTAATTTTAAAAGAAATTAAAAACACTTTTGGAACCCCTACAAGTATGGTGGTTTCTGGGCATAGTGCCTACTGTGCTGAATGGGTAAGTCGGCCCTGACTGGAGGTCTGGGGAAACTGTCAAAGCAGTGCTGGTGTAAAACTGTTTTGTAGTTTTATGTTTATTAGAAATAATGCAAATTTTGCATTCTACTATGTTATGTACCCACATTAGTTTAAATATATATACACATATATATGTGTGTATATAATATATATAACACACACACATATATACATATATATATATATATATTTTTTTTTTTTTTTTTTTTAAGGTTTCCCTAAATCTCTGAGTGGAATTGATGTGTAAAGAGGCACTACATTTTACAGTGTGGCTCGCACTCTGTATCACTAAAAATCCTGGCTCCCTAGCTGGACAATCCTGGGAATGAACCCTTTATTACCATGGAACGTTACCCCAAATTGAAGACAGGACCCTATAGGTGTTAAGACCTGGAACATATCCTTGGGAAGTTAGAGGAGCAGGGTCAGGTGTGTGTGTGTTTAGGTGGGAGAGGGGAAGGTGGAGGATGTAACGTTGCAATATATTTGTAATATATTTGATATATTACTTGGATTTTAAACATGGTATGTGATTAGTATTTAACAAATGGCTCCTAAAAAACACCCTGATGTGAAATGTTTGCCAATTTCTATGACGCAGATTCAAGTTTCCAAGGTGAGGTCGCTGAAGGTGGAGTGGGGAAGAGATGCTAACTGCAGGCTCTCCTGAGCCTGTGAGCTTTCAAAGAAGCTAGCATTTTTTTTTTTTTTTTTCATTTACGTTGATTCTAACCAAACCAACTTCACTGCATCTTTGGTCCTTCTGGGTTTCACTCTAATAAAAACTAACCATGGTAAGCGAAATGTGGCTCAATGGCTCTAACTGGGAGGTGGAATCTTATCCTTCTCCCCTTGAATCTGGCCTTAGTGAACCAATAGACTATAGAAGTGAAGCCAGATTGTGGAAATGTTGCATCTTATGCCTTGTCTCTGGTAATGCTGAGCTTGGCCAAGCCAGCCAAGTGGAGAGGGAGAAGCCATTACAGCCATTCAGACTTTGAGCCACCACTTCTGAGGCTGCAGACATTGTAGGGCACTCTCTAAATCTCTGACCCAGAAAATCATGAGCTTAAATAAATGTTTGTTGTTTTCAGCCACCAAATTTTGGGGCACTATGAAGCAATACGAGGGCCTACACCAAACCTAATACATGAAAATAAGAATTTATTAAGGGAGAGAAAGTAGAGGCAAACTGGATTTATACAAACTGGATTATACATAGGTTTACACAAAGATTCTCTTTATACATTAGCTTTTCCTTAGTAGTTTTCTCCTCTAGATTCCATTTAGCAGTATGTCCTCTATGGCACGCTTTGATAGATGCTGAATACATTTCTCCCCAAAATTGCTTCACTAAAGCCTGAGATTAATTTGTAATTATTTCTGGTTAAATGTGTTTTGAGAGGAACATACTTCTGTGGGTTAAATTCTGTTTAAAATAAACATGTTACTGAGAGGAGTAACATATGATTTGTCATTAATACCTAGAACAAAATGGGAGCAGAGGGCACAGGGTAGGTTGGCCTTGAGTAAACTAGAAACAGATTGTTTTTCTAGTCTTGCTCCTCAAACCGTTGTCTTCAGACCATCAGCATCAGCATCACTAGGGAGTCTGTTAGCAATGCAGAATCAGACCCCATCCCAGACCTGCTGAATCCAGTCTTCCGTTTAACAGAATCTTAGGTGATTCCTATGCAACTTAGATTTTAGAAGCACTAGAGATAGTGGTCCTCAAACTTTCAGCTCACGCAAAAATCATCCAGAGGCCTTGTTAACAGAGACTGCTGAGACCAGAGTGTCTGATTTGGTAGGTCTGGAGCGAGGCAAGAGAATTTGCATGTGTAACCGAGTTCATATTGTTGGTCCAGGGATCATTTCTTGTGAACTGCTTTAAAGCACAAAGCAGGCCATGCTGGGGAAAGCAGGCTAAAAGAAAATCTTGGGCTCCACCCCGACGCTAGTGAATTAGACACCTTTGTTGTGTTGTTATCAACCTGTCTGGGAACATGGGGTGCCTTTCCATTTATTTTCCATTTATTAAAGGCTACCGTTTGTCCTTTAGAAATATTTTAAAGATTTCCTCACACATTTTGTAAGTTTCCCGCATTTGTAGGCTATAGTTAATGGCTTCTTTTTCCCATGTCTTCTCAGTCATTGTTATTCCAGTCCATGAAAAAATTATTTCTTTATGCACATCAATTTTGTATCATTCTACTTCTCTTTTATTATTTTATTCTTTGTAGAGCTTTTCAGAATTAGAAAATAACCATTTTGCAACCCCTAGTGATGGAATGGATCTACACAATAAATAACGAATTCTAAAGTACTAGGTGAAAGCATAGTGGGATGGGGACTGTGTCACATGAGGCCACTTATCTCCCTTAGCGTCCCTAAAAATGGGATAGCCCGATATTCTGTGCCCCCTTATGCCATGCAGTGCAAGAGTAAGTACACAGCGTCACCTGTCAGGTATCATTTCCTAGGAAATTAAGTCTGAATCTAATCAGGTATTAGACCAAATTGTCACTTTATAGGGAATACAGGCAAAAAATCTGCAAGTTAATTAGCATCACGAAGAAGCGACCAAGTAAATCTATGATATAGGACATTCTATTTGACACATGACCCAGTTTTTCACAAACCAACGGCATGAAAAAAGGAGAAAAAATGAGACACGAGAGACATAACAACCAGAAGCAACACGTGGGCCTTATGTATAACCTGCTTCATACAGCCAACTATAACAGGGTATCTTTGTGCTATTTAGGGAAATATGAATGGTATTAAGTGGATATTATATGATTTCAGGGAATTTTTTTTTTTTTTAATTTTAAAAAAATTTTTTTTTTTCAACGTTTTATTTATTTTGGGGACAGAGAGAGACAGAGCATGAACGGGGGAGGGGCAGAGAGAGAGGGAGACACAGAATCGGAAACAGGCTCCAGGCTCCGAGCCATCAGCCCAGAGTTCAGGGAATTATTTATAATAATATTATAAATCAAAGACCTGTATATAAAATATATACCTTGTTATGTATAATTGTAGCATGGTACTTTATATTTTTTTAAAAAGTCCTTACCAGATAGAGACTCATATTGAAATGTTTCTGTATGAATTAGCGTAATGTTTAGAATTTTCTTTAAAATATTTTGTCACAAAAAGGGGAAGTAGCTGAAGGATGAAACAAGATTGGCAAAATATTGATACTTATTGAAGCTGGACAGCAGGTACATTCTCTTTACCTTTGTGTATGCTTGAAAATTTCCATAATAGTTATGCAATGAAATGAATTATATGCTCACCTCAGTTCTTCTGCTGAAGTGTTGTCAATCAACTCCTGCTTGCCTGAATTTTACCCTCTGGTATCATTCTCAGAAAAGGTTCTTGGGAATACTATTCCCTGAATTCTTACATATTCAAATGTCGGCCTGCTCTTTACTTGAAGAGCAGCTTAGCTGGTTCACACGTTCTCTACTTGGGTAAATTTTAAATGTTAGTCCATTTTCTTTTGTCACTGAATGTTGCTGAGGAGAAATCCAATGCCATCCCGATTTATCTCTAACACGATACTTTGGCCTATATTTTCACATCTTTAAAGTCTTTAAAGATACTAAATCTGCCTTCAGATGGGTCTTTTGGATCAGTTTTCCCTGCTCCAAGGTATACTCTTCATTATGAAGAAACATTTTCTTCGGTTTCAAGAAAATGGAGTTTGTGAATTTCCCTTCATTCTCCTTATTGCACTATATGATTTTCAAGAAACCTCGTGGTTTTGAATTCAGAACGAAGCCACTGCTATGCTCCTATTGGATTTTCATTTATTTAATAATAATTTAAAAAACCTAAGTTAATCTTGTGGTTGTGATTCTTGTTTCATCTATTTCTACCTTCTCTTTTCCCTCAGTCTGCCCATGCAAGTAGAATAGAGCCTATACTTGACATTTTGACATTCGTAGCCTGTGACCTATGAGGTGAAGAGAGAGGAGCGGTGGATGTGTATACGCACCTCTTATGTGGCGGCTGCAAGGATGATTTCTCTGTGTGGTTGCTGTCTCGATTGGTATCATATATTCAACCCAATCCCATA